GTCGTGAAAAGTGACATTAAATGGCCAACAAAGTTTGGTGCCAGAGAGAAAATCATTCAAGCTTACTCAAAGAGACTTTACAAAAGAATAAAATAACAGGACCAGCTGTAATCACTGTGACGCCAACTCAACTTATATCTGATGATTCCATGGGCAGCACGACTGATCCAGGACAGGTGCACCTCTAGGCCGATCTTCCTGCAACAAACCAAAGACGCAATTTTTTTAGTCGCAGAAACAGGATGAAAAAGAGGCAGGAAGCACGCAATTTCGACAGAGGAGGTCAAAGGCGACTCTCCTAGACCAATTCCAATCATTTCCAGGGATTTTTATTTTTTTCATTTTTGGCCAAATTAACAAAGGCTATAGCCTTTGTGTTTTTAGCGAAAATTGATGGGTCCGGATTTCGACGGAAAAGTAGTCAAATCAACAGAAGTGGCCCAGGGGACCACAAAACTACATTTGGTTCAGCTAGAAACCACCCGTTTCCAGAGAAACTTGAATTTTAAGGGTGGTCTTTTAAATCTGGCGCTCAGCGTACGATGGGCTGCCTACCTAGCAGGCGAGCCGGTCCAAGAAAAACAGGCGTAAGTCACTTAAAATGGCCCGGCGGCGTGAAATTTCGACGGAGAGCTTGAAACGGAGTGCTGTCGGACCCATCCCAACCATTTTCAGCGATTTTCAAATTTTTCATTTTTGGCAAAATTTACAAAGGCTATAGCCTTTGTGTTTTTAGCGAAAATTGATGGGTCCAGATTTCGACGGAAATCGGCGGTGGTGAACCAGGGGTCCTCAAAACTACTTTTGGTTCCGTCAGAAACCACCCCCGTCTACGTAAAATTGAGTTTTAAGGGGTGGTCTTTTGAATCTGGCGGGCAGCGTACAATGGGCTGCCTACCTAGCAGGCGAGCCGGTCCAAGGAAAACAGGCGAAACTCACTTAAAATGGCCCGGCGGCGTGAAGTTTCGACGGAGATATTGAAAGGGAATGCTGTCGGACCAATCCCAACCATTTATTGCAAGAAACAAGTCACCAAAAAAACATAAAAAACCGACCTTTGATGTTCACCAAAGCGAACTTCTCATAGAGTCTAAAGTCTGAACCAGAGACAAATTAGACCAGTGTTAGTTACTGCGCAAGGAAAACATGTTGCCCTTGGGTGATGTCAACTCACCTATACTTTCAGGTTAAATGACTCCGTAGACTTCTTTGCTCATGTCAAGAACGTTTCCGGGCTGTGTTCCTGCAACCATGTTAAATGGTACTTTTAGCGCTATGTTTGCTTTTATTACTCATCAATTATCAGCTATTAATAATATATAATTTTACTATACTATGGTAACTCAATTCACTACAGTATTTCTTTCTCGAAATAGTATTTCTTTCTGAGGGAAAAAAGAAATCCGCAAAAAGAAATACCGTGGTGAATTTGAAAAATAATAATCCATTTCATATTGGGAGTGGACTATTCAACCACCTCCCTCTGGAAATCAAGAAAATCAAAATTAATGAAAGAAGACTTAAAGCTGTACTGAAGAGGCGTTTACTGGCAATGGAGGAGCCCTACTCAATAGAAGAGTTTTTTTAACAATGCTTTCACCAACTTCAAATAATATACATTCTATCATGTATATCGACTTGGAATGCTCTCTAATCTACATTACGAATAAAAATAATTAAATAATAAGAATAATATAACACACTTTTCAATGCCTCTCCCCCCATAAATGACCATGGTCTTTCAAATAACTAATATTTGGCACTGGACTCAACTATTAGTGAACATAACATAGCCCTCTGAACATACTGTAGGCTGTGCGCATATCCCAAATACCTTTTCCACAATTATTAGGACAGTAGTTGATAGGCCAGCTGCAAATTAGCTGCAACGCACATTGATTTATTTGATTGTTTAGGGAATTACACAAATAGCACTAAACCCCTCAGTTGGCAATCAAAGTCTGCACCCCAACCTGTTTCACAAAAATACAGAGTAATGATTCCCAGGTAGCAAAACTGCATCATGACAGCGTTGTATGTCCAATCTAAAATGTGCAATTTGTTCACCCATTTGCAAATCACCTACTACGATATTTAACATACTGTATGAAAGGGAGGAGTGTACCCATTCAACACCTCTCCAACAAAACTTACAGTGAGCCGAGTTTAAATGACGGTCATCATTTACTCTGCCTCCAAAAATATCTTACAACTAATAAGTGCATAAATGGAGCCCCTCCCCAGGAGCACAACTAACCTCCTACAATTACCGGAACGGAACAATTAATTTTCCGGAAACCATCAAGCACTATCCCTTTCGATGAATATAAAAAAAACGACGCTGTCCACCCTAAAATTCTAATTAGAATCCTATGATAAATTTGGATAGGAATTATCGGTACCGGTATTGAGCAGAAGACGCCGATTTCCACTGTTTATTTACGTTTCCGCCCGCAAGGGCGCGCGCGGCGGCGGCGGGATGCGGGTCGGGGAGGGGGCAAGGGGGTGCAGGAGACGCGGCACCGGGAGCAGAAGTTCTGATCAGACGAGGACACTCCCCGACTTATCGTGGTCCACGCCGCGCGTGTCTCGCGTGTCCGGGCCGGGATGTGATGTGATCCTGTAGGGTTCCCGATCCAATAGCATGTGGCCGCAGTGGTAAAGTAGAGTCCTCCTAGGACTCTATGGCAAACTTCGGGGAAGAATTGTGGCCGGGGTGCGGGTAGGCAATCCCGCCTCGCTTCAGAGAAGTGAAGAGCGTGCACGTTTTAGATCGTGCAGGGCCGGCACCCCTGCGTGGTGCAGGTTGAGTTGCCGGCCCGCCCGGCGCGCTCTCCCTTCACCGCGCGCGATGGGCTGCCTGCACTCCGGGCGCGCGGCGCGCTCTCTCGCTCGCCGGGCCGTCCCGCGCACAGCGGGGGGTGCACACATGCGCAACGCGATGCGCTCTGCTCCTTCCATTCCCCTCGATACAAAACTCAAGAGCCGGTTTATTTGTCGAACCCGACCCGAACCCCACGACACACCTCCCAACCGCCAACAGCACTGATCACGGTTAATTTCCCCCGTCTCCACCTCGCCGCCGCCCAGCCGCCGGGTCTGCTCGGCCTATATGGCCGCTGTGGTTCCCACGGCAGCGTGTCGCTGTGCGGGTCCGTGCAGCGGCGGCCTCCGCTGCCCCGACACGAGTCGTTTTTCACTCCCCTGAGCGGCGCCTCGCCTCGCCCCGGCCGCCGGTAGCGTGCGAGGGCTCCATCGGGGCTCCGGCGGCGGGGGGCCCCTACAGGGACCCCGCCCCGCCCC